GCCTTCGGGGCGGCCCACGGAAGGAAGCCCCTTCGTGTGTGAGCAGAGGTCCACAGCCCCGTGCGCTACCTGGGCCTCGCCTGGGCCTCCCTGTGAGGCTCTCAGAGGCCTGGGGTCCAGCTGAGGCATCCGATCCAGAGCTGGGCAGCCTGGGTCCCCAGGGGAGGGAGGCTGGTGGGTGGGGGTCAGGGAGGGCTCCCCCCCATGAAACGCCGGAGGAGCCAAGGGCTTCCTGGGTGACCCGCTGTGGCCCGGGCAGGCCCAGTCCGTTCCCCGGTCAGCTCTCGCTGGAGGAGCCCTGGGATTGCATGTGCGGAGAGAAGGGGCCTCCCTCCCATGTCTGCAGGGGCACGTGTGTGGGGGAGTGAGAGCACCAGTGACCATCCAGGGAAACAGTGACCTCGAAACCCATGACTCCCCGTGGTACCCGAGCCCTGAGCACAGAGAGCTGAACTCAGTCTCCCTGAACCTGAGCCTGGCCACACTGAGCCCTGAGCCTGGTCACACTCAGCCCTGACCCAGGTCACACTCAGCCCTGACCCTGGTCACCCTGAGCCCTGACCCTGGTCACACTCAGCCCTGACCCTGGGCACACTCAGCCCTGACCCTGGTCACACTCAGCCCTGACCCTGGGCACACTCAGCCCTGACCCTGGTCACACTCAGCCCTGACCCTGGGCACACTCAGCCCTGACCCTGGTCACACTCAGCCCTGACCCTGGGCACACTCAGCCCTGACCCTGGTCACACTCAGCCCTGACCCTGGGCACACTCAGCCCTGACCCTGGTCACACTCAGCCCTGACCCTGGTCACTCAGCCCTGACCATGTCTCATTGGCGATGACTCAAACGCTCTCACATTGTTACGCATGCGTCACTAGCTGGTGGGCTGTCTCCTCCTCCGACCCCCGGGACAGCCGTGTGCGTCACACTCATCTTGGACAGAATGAGCCAGAGGGTCCCACCCACACTGCAGACCCTACGCGTCTTGTTCTCATTACACGTGCACACACATGTACTCATGTTCACATGCTCACACGCACACACGTGCACATGCATGGGCTCAGCATCTACGCGGGGTGTCATCGCATACTTTGTAAACTCCGGGCCCTGACAGGCCCCTAGAGACCCTCCTGTCAGGAGTCCTGCCATGTAATCAGCCCCTCCTCTGAGTGCAGAGACCCAGTGGCCCCCCCTTACCCTGGCTGACGGGGCTCAGGGCCCCTCCCAGCACCCCACGTGGCGGCAGCAGTGAGGTCTGGGAGCAGGCGTGTTGGCGGGGGAAGGGGAGTCCTGCAGACAGGATGGAGGATGGAGGATGGAGGATGGATGGAGGGTGGAGGGTGGAGGATGGGGGATGGGGCATGGGTCAGTGAGGAGATGGGTGGCTGTGTGGAGGATGGAGGATGGGTGGGTGGAGGATGGAGGTTGGAGGATGGGGGATGGAGGATGGGGGATGGGTGGAGGATGAGTGGAGGGTGGAGGATGGGTCAGTGAGGAGATGGGTGGGTGGCGTGTGGAGGATGGGTGGTCTGTGCTCTCTCCCAGCGCGGGCCCCCAGCACTGCCTCCCACTGGGGGCCCCTGCCCAGGGCACGTCCCGGTCCCTTTAAGAGCCGTGCCCCATCCTCGGTTTCCGTGGAGAGAGCAGCGAGGGGCCGGCCAAGCAGGGAGCGAGCGGAAGGGAGACTTGGCAGCCCCCCGAGTCGCTGTCGGTGGCCCGTTCCCAGCCGAGTTCTCCCACGCCAGCCTGTTCCTGGTGGGCAGGGCCGG